TTTACCTGAGATAAAAATATTTTCCTTTGTATTCAACTGACAGTGAAGCAGTGACCAGATGTAGGCTTAAATTACAGACTTCGAGGCCCACAACGTGGTTTGCTACCACTTCCTTTGGTTTAACTGCTCGATGAGCAACTGCAGTGATGGCAAAGTAAGTTCATCTCAGAAATATTCTGAAGTGGAGCGCGTATAGTTTGGTTGGAGACATCACGCGGCAGTACCAATTTTTTTTTCTCTTAGTCAAGAGGAAATATAATTAGAAATGAAAATATAGCACCTCATATCAAACTGCAGATAGTACTATGGCAATAATGACACCAAAATCCCTCCACATATGTCTTTCTGAAGTTTTTCTTTGGACATTGGCTGCTTTTACACTAATTTTCAGTCCAGTCCTTCTACCTTCACCATTTTCAAAGGAATGTTTTTTGTCTGTTAACACTGACCTATGAATCATTTCAACATAAAAAAATGACTTCTAACTAAAGGGATGTGTAGATATGACAGACAACTTAGCAAACAACCCATTATAAATTGAATGTTAGGCAATTTGTTACTTGCAAGCTGTCACAAAACACAGTTTGACAGACATATAATAGTATTTTCGCACCAAGCTGATCCCTAAAGAGCTGTTAGTGGAAGGCTTGACATATCTTGGCATGGTATGCATGTCTGTGCCAAAACATATTGGAGAAACTGAACAAGTTGAGCACAGAAGAAGAAGAAGCAGCATGCCTAAAAAGTTATCTGGAGGTGACAAACAGCATCTGAACGTCAAAAAAGACCAGCAAAGATCTGACGTGGGACCTGAGAGATACCTCTGGAGCTTCAGTTGATCCATCTACTGTTCACTAAAGCCTCATTAAAAATACTTCATTCTTTCAATGTGGCAAAAAGATGAAGTATGTCAAATTACACAATAACTGGACTGAAAATCAGTCACAACACGTCTCATGGAGTGATGAATCCAAATTTGGTTTGGGGCTGCATTTCAGGCAGTGGAAAACCTCTGACTGGAAATGGCTTCCGTTTTCAGCATAACAATATTCCCAAGTATGCTGCCAATGCAGTAAACGCATACCTGGATGTAAAACACACAATGGAACACTATCAGTCATGAATTAGCCAGAGCATGGACCTCCTCAACGTTGTTGAAGCAGTGTGGGATCATGTTGACAGAAAACTTAATAAAAGGCAGCCAGCATCCAAAGAACAGCTTTGAATGTTCTGCAAGAAGTCTGAAGAACTACTCCTGAAGACTACTTAAGGAAATTAGAAGAAAGCTTGCCCAAGAGAGCTCAGCCCTTGTTGAAGAATAAAGGTGGTCATTACCAAATATTGACTTTCAAGCTTGCTACAGTTGTACAAACTCAGTTTTTGCCAATTTTATTTTAAATATGAGCTCATGCTCGCTCTATATTTTCCCACTAAAAAGGAAGTCTGTATTTTTATTTTTATTTTTTGACAGTGTAATAAAGGTTACAACTTCATGTGCCAGCTATAAAGGCTTTCACACGGCACACCACACTCTATTACTATCTTTTACAAGCTCACAAATCACATACCACATACAATGTTTAACTGATCTCCCCTCCTAGCTTTGCAATAAATACATACTGAGGCAGATAGCGGTTTGTACATTTTTTTAAAGTACTAATTGATCATCTTCACTGTTTTCAGTAAGAAAAACAAATAAAAAAAACAAAACAAATCAAAATGTCACTACTCATTCAATAGTTCGACGAGACATTCAATTATAAATAGATACAGTCCAAATGCACAGCATTTGTGGAAACAATTAAACTTTCATTTTAAGATGTATGTTAGGCTCTAGGGTTGCGGGGCATAGTGTTGCTGTTTAGATTATAGTTGTGGTCTTAATTAATTAAAATGTGTGTTGAAGTTATTGAAACAGAAGTGACTTTGATCGGGTCTTGTAAAGGAAAAAATGAAAGTGTAAGAACACTCAGGCGTGAGCACATTTCGTTAAAAATGTTAAATATAGAAAGGAGGAGTGGCCGTCTGCTTTCAAGCCCGTCACATTATTCCTTTTTGCATGTAATTTGACACCACATCTCTGCGGAGAAAGAGCGCTGAGACAAAAGATATTGCCCTGGGGTCTTTCTGTATATGAATAAACTTTTACAATCCATCAACTTGAAACAATATTAATAAATAATACATTCTTATTGATTATTATAACTTTCACAGTATTCATTGTTCATATTTAAGTGAAAAAACCAAACGCAAAGTGAAGGGCAGTTGGGGGGGGGGGGGGGGAATTATGGTGTAGTGCAGCGCTTTAAAAAAATTGACCAATCAACGGTGAGCTAGACCAGAGGTGGGATTCGTTTTCAAGATTGAAAAGATACTCATCCAATCAAACATCCCGGTGGTCGACATTGTCCAATCAGGTGTAGGATGGAGCCGCTGTATCCAACGAGAGTGGATTTTCAACGAGCTCGAGAGAAAAGCGGAGACAGGCAGACATCGTTTCTCTCTCAGCGTCTTTGGACTGTTCACACACAGGCGAAGAGACGAGAAATAATTATTCTTTAGATCGGGAATATAATTAGCTAAATTAATACACAAAATTAACCATGGCCGACACAGCTGTTGACACAACCGCCACTGCAGAGGTTACAGCCAAGGTGCGTTTCATTCACCTTTTTCTCCCCCTTTCTTTTTTTTTCTCGGCTGAACCGTCGTGTTGAAAGATTTAGAAAACTTGTACAAGTTGTTACAGTGTTTATGTTTCTTTAGCTAACTACGGCTGAACAAGTGAGTTATTTGACGGCAGCAGCAAAGCTTGTAATTAACGTTAGTTCATGTAAGTTAAACCAGCAACTTGTCTTAAATATCACATGGCGAAAGCCATACTTCGTGGAGGCGATTCATTTAGCAGTTTTCAGCATCGACGACTAATTGCTGTGACTGGAAACTGAAATGTGTGTGATGTGGTTTGGCTTAAAAATGTCTTGTTAAGCAGACAAAGCGGCACAAACGGTACAGCTGGTGGAGCGGAGCTGCCGCTGTGGGCGGGAAGCCACAGCACGGTTTACACTGCTGTGTAACTGCGCGGCATGGGGGTGAAAAAGACCAGCATTCCCGCTTAGTTTTAATAAAAGAACACAAAATTAATACCGTTTTCATCGTGTTTTTTTTTCTCAATCCCAGCTCGTAATCAAACTCGGACGTGGGAGTAACATTTGGCACTTAACTCTTTTTCTTAACTGAACATTGATCAAAGGGGCTTTTATTTTGTAGGAGCTGAAAGAGAAGAAAGAGGCAGAAGTGGAAGAAAAGACCGATAACGGGGACGCACCTGCCAATGGCACAGTAAGTTGGAGCCGAGAGAGGCAGCCTCATGGCCTTTTGTCTTAGCGCCCCTCATCATGCAGGTGTCGCTGCACCCGCCTCCCCCCTCCTGTTCAGCTGCTCTCCACACTGTGCTTTGTTTGGGTTGTGAAATGGCAGATGTTCGCTAGCAACCCTCTGGACGTCTCCATTGGTTTTTCTCTACTCTGAGGTTTCCCAGAGCTTGGTAGCTAATCCTCTGGGAGTGTAATAACAGCTCACTACACATTGCCTTTTAAAGAATCCCCAAAGAGCCTGTACATGCAAGTCTGTGGGAGCATTATCTAAAATATGCTCGGGATGCCTTGTTATTCTGCAAATAATTTGTTTACATAATTGAAGGCCAGTCATTGCATACCCTTACCAGACTGATGTTTCCTCTGCTTCATCCAGAATGGTGCTGAACACAGTGACAAAGTGGAAGAAACCACAGAGGAGGAGCACAAGAATGGGGAAGGTAAGTTAATTTTAAGTGCTACTAGTGTTTTCTGAAAGATTGGAATTGCAACTATATGTGTACTATATTCAGATTTTACTGATTTGCCCTATAATTGTTTCTCTTGTGTGGTACTGACCTCAAAATCTTCCCTTTTTAATACAAGTGAATCTTGATATGTTTAAAAAAGAAAATGTGCTGGAAGTGAGGGCTGTAATTTCTGAAGTGACAAACTGTCCTTATAGGGAATGCAGAGGAGGCGCCCCCTGCTGAGGAGACTGATGCACAGCCTGTGAAGCGTGCAGCTGAGGAGGAGGAGGTGGGTTGTCTTTGGGCCTTAAGTATGCAAGTTTTAGTCTTGGTTTTGGCCTTTGCTAATGTGACTCTTCTTCTTTTTTCCATTAGGAAAAGGTGGAGACAAAAAAGCAGAAGACAGAGGAAAATGGGGATTCGAAAGAGGCAGAAGTGGAGGCTTAGGTCTCTGTCCTGCTACTTGTTTGCAGCACTGTCTTACCAGCCTGGTCAACATCGTGTTGTAGAGCTTGTGCTTTTTTGTATCTTTGGAGAGAAATTTCTTTTTGTTTGCTCCCATGTTATCACATTGCACTGGAGTCTTGAAACATAGTGGCCCTGCATCCTTTTTTTTTTTTTTTTTTTTAAATGAAATGTTATTTATTGGTCTTTAAAATGAGCTCTTTTTTTTCCTACTTGTACAAATCGGGCCATGCCACGAGATCAGTTTTGTTTTTTTGTTTTTTTTTAATTTCCTGAGGTTTGATATCAGTATGTTAGAAGCACAATCTCTATTATGTCAGTGCTGACCAGATGATTCATACATACAGGCAGCTGCTCACCTCCAAGGCTCATGTTGACCTCTCAGATACACTTAAAGGACCAAAGATAAGTTTTAAGCAGGGGATAATGGACAGTTGTTAGCATTATTAGTTAAAAGGCATAATATTTTGTGTTTGAGCTGCTACTTAATCTTTGGCTGCCCTGTTAACATAGCAGATGGTGCAAATGAATTAGAGGGGCTCTGTCTTGCACCTCCATGATTAGATAGTTTGACCCCCCTGATTCCCCCCAAACTTCCCAGTTCAGTGGAGGCAGGATTTTGCAATGTTAATTAACCCCTCTTAAATCTTAAAGCTTTGGTCATTTGTTCTGTATGCATTCCACGCAAGTTTGTACCATTTATACTTTGTTTCTCTTACATTTTCAATGAGTGTTATGTTATGGTTGGGTAGCTCAGTTTTGTGTACAAGACTGCCTTTTTCAGAACCAGAATGACATTCGGTTACTTCAGCCACTGCTTTGTATATTCTGATTAACAAATAAATTGTCTTTTTACTTAAGAATGACTTTCGTGTGTGTTTATTATCTGTTAATAGCTCATCATCAGTGCTTTCTTTAAAAAACAAAACATGGTTTTATAAGTGGATGATGTCACTTGACCTATTTTTTTCTTAACATGGAAAATGGCTGGCTTAGATGCAGGAAAGAGGAATAATTTCACTTGGTAATGGAAAAGGGTGAACAGAATCAATGGATTACTTTCTTGTATACACTTGCTCCCCCATGTGGTGTAGTTGAGAAGTTCACCCCATCATTAAGGGAAGCTACAACTGACATGGCATGCAACAAAATAATTGACACAGGAGTCAAGCGTGGCAAAAAATGATCATTTTAGTTTTAACTTAACCCTGAATAAAAGTAGCTTTTACAGTAGCACTGCTAATACTGAGCAATAGGTGGTACCATGTAACACAAAAACTGTGTTTTATTTCTTTCCCAAGCAAGCTGCAACAGCATGATCCGCACATTTACTGTTTCCTCAGAAACGTTAGCGTGGCGTGCATCTGGTCAGTCCAGCAGGCTTTGATAGTAGGCAATTACAGACATTCTTCTGGGGCACCTGCATGTTGAGGTGCTCAGTCAGTGGAACCAACACAACGAAAAGCTTGTTTGAAGCCCTGAAATCAGGCTTGGTGCCTGTGTTTGGCTGAACAGACAAAGCGTACCGTTTTGCCATGAAAAAATAAACTGCATGTACCAGTTTAGTGATGTAGATGGCTTCTCGATGATGGAAAAAGGAATGAGGTTTAAAACGTCCAGCTAACAAACGAAAAGTCATCACTATACGTCACTGATAGACTGAGCATAGTGGAGCGGAAGCCTACTACCTTAAGCATGCGCCCTAATGATGACGATAAGCATTCGCCGCCGCTGGCTGTGAACCCCCAGTCTTTTTTTTTGCTTTTTTAAAATGCTGTCCACCTTCAGGGTTACCCATCATTCACATGAGTCTTCTCTCTGTTTTCTCTTCTTCTGTTTTGTTCGGTTTCCGACTGATTGCTGATTCAGACCCCAGTTTCAACTTCTCCTCTTCCTGATAATGACAAGAATCACTGTCATTATTACAATGGTATGGCCAGGAGTAGGGTAACAGCTCACAGGGCTGTCCATGGCTTAGTGAGGGCCCAGACAAGAATTAGCCACCAGTACACATTTCTCTGTGTTTTTTGTACGAGTACGCGTGTCATCCTATTAGACACTGCTCTATGATGATTAAGTAGTTGACATTGTACTCCTATTTGGACTCTTGATTAAGAGTCACCCAGCACCAAACTGTGAAATTTTGGGGATAGCACACTGGTTAAGTCTCATAATGACTGGATAGTGTGGAAAGTGTTGTTTGTATTTGCTGTTAAAATGTGGAGAATGTGAAAGCCTTCCAGACTGTGATTAGGCATAGTTCGCCTTCACGTGAATATTAAGTATGTGTTTGCTAAATTATGCAATGAGAGCTCTTGAATTAATAAAGAGGAATGAACAGTGAGCCTGAATGGCTACTGGCAGCACATTCAATTAGTCAGAAAATCCTGCCTAAGGTGTAGTATGCTAACTCAGAGAAACAGGCAGGTAGACATTCCCTTGGCCATATGACCAAAACAAAACGTTAACACAGGGCTTTAAGAGATTACACTGCAGCTCATGCAGACGTTAGGCAACTGATAAAAGGAAGAAAAAGAGAGGGAAAGCAGTGGTTAGCTTGCGCATACTGGTAAACACTTCTATCCTAAAAACACCAACAAATGAGCAAGAAAAATGATGCAAGAGTTTGACAGCAAAGAATCAGACACAAGAACGGCTTATCTATACTCACAGGAGTCACTCAGAGTCACACACACATTCAGAGAGGTCACACATTCGTTTGCAAAAGTTAGGAAAAAATGCATGGGCACACACACTGTATGAACACGCTGGTCATGTATAAACAAAGACTGGAGAGGTGGCCAATGTCTGTCTGTCTGTCTGTCTAGCTCTGAGAGGAGCAGTGCTAAATTGGTGTAAAACAATATATGAATCTGTGCTGTACAGTGTGCGGCAGGATTTACAAGTGCGTCTGTCGCACTGTGAAGGTCAACACAGCAGACACTAAAGCAACAGTGCTGTGGAGTGAGTATGTGTGTGCGTGCGGTTGTGTGTGAGGTAAAAATAAATTTGTAAGAGGCTTTTCTAAATGTGCACCAATAGTGGCTGGGTCTCGCTTTCGGGGGGCTCACCCTCAGGGGGGGGCAGCTGGTACACCACGCAGAGAGAGGAGTACAGGCAGCCCACGAATGACATCAGGCTTGCAAAGTACATCACTCCCTGGGCCCCACCCACCAGCGAGGTCAGAGGTCCCATCGCCACAGAGACCAGGATTTGAGCCAGGAAGTACTGGCAGCTGAGCAGAGAGATGTCCACCCCCATCCCGCGTCTGGTCCCTTCCTCCGATGAGCCGCAAAACTGAAAGACACAATTGGTTTAATTACAGTGTGGGAACAGTCTAAGCACTGCAAGCAAGTACTCAGCAAATATGCTAGCTGGAAGGTGATGTTCTAACAGTGGACAAAGCAAGAATGCAAGTCATTTTACAGGAGTGGAGAAATCAAACACTCTTGTCTTTTTTTTTTGTAATGAGACTATGTAACTATGAAGACAGCTGCATGATGTCAACTCCATGTAAATCAAGTAGAAAAAAGTTTGTTTGTTTGTTTATTTTTTAAATATGAACCTTTTTAAGTCATTTATGGTTATCTACATGTAAATTCTGCCTCATTTGTGCCATGATGAACTTGGACTGTCACAACCACTGCCTCTTTGCTCCCTGAAGAAAAGCATCCAGAGTAAGAGTTAGGAAATCAACTTATTCTTGTGTTGTATGTATTTTTTTTTTAACTCTTAATAAATAAAGATTTCTTTGTTTTGATTTTTGATCTAATTAGTAAACAGATAATACAAAACAATCACTGAAAACAAAATTTCTCTCCAACAATGATATTCAAGGCGCATCTAGGAAGGAAAGTGAGAGTGATTACTATTTTTCAAGTCTTCTTCCCATTGAAACATTTGCTGGGTAAAGCTGTGAAAGACTTTGACAGTATGCTCATTTGTTTTCTTCTGACATCACTAAACTAAATATGAAGCTACAGCCAATGCAAATCATACAAAGCTTTGCTTTAGATAGTGCTGTGGGAAAAAGTCCTAAAATCTGAAAATGGACCTTGAGCACTTTTGGGTCCCTTAACTGGAAGTTAGATTCTAGATGCTTACGCAGGCTTTTATTCTACAACATAAAATACATACCTAAATACTCAACTTCTTCTTCTTTTATCTGTCTCAGAGAAGGCGTTTCCCCAAAAAAATAGTGAAATGAAACTCCAGAACTTAACTTGATCACAGCAAAATATGAGAGCTTTGTGGCATAACAAGTTTATAGTAAAATCTACGCATTTTACAGCTTTTAAAAAATCCTAAACTTTGAGTTAATTGGGAAAAATGATCTCGCTGAACAAAACTCATGTTCATTTCCCAGAAAGGTCGTTTTCTGCAGTAATTCAAAAGGCCTAAAAATTAAATTGGCTCTTTGATGAATGAACCAGGGTGATGCTAATGTCTGGCAAAAAGCACCCAGAAAAGCATTCTACTGTAGAACGTCCAAGAAACAGTGAGACAGCAAATCTGGCACTATTACTTCCTGCAACTCTAAAGCTTAAAAAAAGCTGCTTCACAACAATAAAGTTTTATTTTTATATTTCAATTTTGTATGATTTGGAATAAAACCTCTAGTTATTCAGCTCAGAGGCAGATTTTATTACCCCCATTATTTAAGATTAAGCTAAATTAACTGGCTGATGGCTGTGGCTTCATAGCCATCAAACAAACACGATAATGGTAAGGTGATCATATACATTTTGATCTATTCTTTTACGTTCACACAGGAAAAATATCATCCAGCAACTATAATTAGGTAATTGCTGCACTTATATCGATACTGACCTGAGGGCTCTGGTAGTATTCACACAGCAGAGAGTAAGGCAGCGTACATAAAGAGGAGAAGAGCACCCCGTAGGTGACACAGAGAGAAAGTACCACGTAGAGGTTGGTGGATAGTGTGGCAAGGCCGGTGCCCAAACCAAATGCCAAGTAGGCGAAAAAATATAGCGTGCGAAGAGAGAAACGCTCCTCTAGTTTCTCCAATATGGCTGAAAGTTGAAGAAGGGAAAGCAGAGAGAGGTTCAGCGAATGACGAAGCAGTGCACAAATCCAACCAGGGTAAGGAATCACACCTGCCAGATGTGATGTGATGTGTGAGTACTTACCTGAGTAGAAAGCAGCACTGAATGCATAGATGCACATGCCCCAGCAGCCCATGCTGACACCAGCATTGTAGCGTTGGTAAGCCTCGGAGTCGTGGGGTGCTTTGGGATCTCCTTCAAACACAACCTCCCCCATGAAGTCAGTGTAGAAGAGCAGCATCCCTTCAAAGGACAGCCAGCCTAAAGTACAGATTGAAAAAAAAAATCACGCTTTCATGAAATTAAATGCAAAACAGGTTGATTTTAAGGTTCAGCAGTGTAGAAAAAGAGATACATTTCAATTAAGTTTTTTTTTTAAACTCACCTAAAAAATGATTAGTGCATAAACTCCGCAAAGAGGGAGGCATCCTGTAGATGGCTATACACAGCAGCTTCATTGACATTTGGGATTCTCCACTCTCCACATTCTCACTTAGATCACTCTCATAGCGCACTCCATTGAGCAAAATGTTTGCAACCTTCATTGGAGGAGAAAAAAACAAACACATGACATCATGTTTAAAAAGCTCTGTTCTGGCTTCTCACAAAACACCTTCTGTCAGATTCAAAACATGCGTCTGACCTGCTGGCTGAAAGTCACTGTCCTCCTACGCCCATTCTCCAGCCCAACAATCTGTGTTGCCATGGGCTCTTCCATCAGCGCGAGACTCTGAGGTCGCTTCAGGATGCCAGCCGTGGAGCCCCGGTGTGACCCCGCAGCAGTCTGAGCCCCAGCTGTGACCTGAGATGCTCCGTGAGATTGTGCATCTCCAGCAGGCTGAGGCCCTTCTGCATCTTGTGCGTCCCCAACTGGATGAGACACCACATTGGCCTGGGTCTGTCCTGCACCTACAGGGTGGTTCCCTGGCCCCTGCATGAGCCCGTCTGGGGGAGGGGAGTCCCCTGGAGGCAGTGGCACAGTGGTGGAGCTGGGGAGCAGAGCTTGTGGTGTCTGCTGGCCTGTGTAGCAGTCTATGAGCACACTATCGATATATGAGGTTCCTAATGAAGAGGCAAACTCATTAATGCCAGTGAGAGAGCTGTCCCTACTAATAAAGCTGCCATACTTTGGAGTGAGGGGGCTTAGGGGCGATATGGGGCTATTGAGGCCCGCACAAAGACGCGCACTTGCACTGCAAGAATGGGCCAAGGGGTCAGGATTACATGGGTGAGACTTTGAGAAATTGTAGCTGTAGAGACCGTCCTCGTCTTCCTCATCTAGTCCCAAATCTGGTCCAGGGTGGACGGGTGGGGAGGGGGGAAGAGGGAGGCTAGGGCTTTTCAGGCTGTTTTTGCTTGAGTTCTTGTTCGGCTGGCTCTTCGGTAAGGGCCGTTCAGGGATGCTCATTAGAGTCATGGTTGTGGCGATCACCAAAGTGATGCTCGTAAACAGGTATATGACCCGGAGTTGACCTCCCATTGACCTTCCAAACTGTGTCTGGTCCCAGTTGATGCCACCTACAATGTAGCCAAATCCACCTCCTAGACCTGAGTAGAGAAATGAAACCACAAAATACTTGTAAAGCTAAATTTCTACTGTTTTCTGCAAAATTATCTCAAAAGGACATATGTTACAGCTTCAGCTTTCCCTGCTACAGAACTATTTTCCTACCTGCCAGTAACGCATGGATGTTCAGTCCCCGATCTTGGTCCTCTGGGCTGCACACATCCATCATATAAGCATGGCTTGGGTTGTCAGCTGAATCAGCACTGAAGTCCATTAGAACCACACCACACACTGTCAGGACGATTCCCCACTTGTGATTTGATGCTGTGTCAGCCAGGACACTCCCAATATCCCGTCCATTGAGAACCAGAGTAAGACCAATCAGTGCTCCTACAATGCAGAGCAGAAGAAGTGACAAAAAATTAACATGAGCACCAAAGCTAGATGAACTAGATGAGAGCTAGATGAAGGCGGAAGACCTGAATGTCTCCTGAACTCTGGGTTTTCCAATTTTTTGATGTAGAGCATAACAAATGGTTACATGTTTTTACTGGCTGTGTATAATCTTTGGCCATCAAAATGATGTGGCTATAAATTTAAAATAAAATTGTGATCTTGCAGTCAATATGGAGAAACAGTACAAGTTCCCAGGTGGATTGATTCTGAATTACATTCGACACAGAGACACAGCCAGTTATAAACACTGAATCTGAACTGTCTGGGAGTTTACTTGAGCTCTTTACTGAAAACCAGATGAAGAGTTGTGCCTTATGGTGGGATGTTTTTCACAGTGGTTTTATTTAAAATGTATCTGAGATGTTGTATGTCACACTGTACTAGCATGGCATGTATACAGTGTAACAGAAAAGCAGTAGACTGAGTAGGTATGTGTATAAGTTCCCCTGTGTTATGCAACCACACTTAGGTGCTTAGGTGGAGCACATGCATTTTGGTGAACCTGTGGCCAAGTTCCTATCTATGGTCTTTAGTTATGATTATCCAACCATGGTTTTATTTGAGCATTTTACAGGAATGAACTGCTTATTGATTGAGCTGCATCAGAGGAAATGCAGGATTTGCTTTGAGGCCACAACTGCTATGATTTTGACCATTCTTCTAAATAACAGCAATAAGAAACATGTTGTAATGCACCTCACAAAAGTGCTAACATTTGAGGTAACTATACCATATAATTGCAGATTATTTACCATTTGATCAACACTGTCACTTACAAGCTACGCAGCTTCACATAATTGCATTTCAAAAACACTATGGTACTGCTTTAATTCGTCTTACCTATTGCCAAGGCGAAAATAAAAGGTCGTCTTCGCCCAAACCGGGATGTGCAACGATCACTCCATGCTCCTATGAGAGGCTGAACGAGGAATCCTTCAAGTCAAAACGAAATACAAAGTTAGAATCCATGCAACTAGGATTCTTATTATACATTACATATGCCTGTACAGCAGCTAGTCGTCTATCTCTGCTGCTTACTTACCGAGAATGGGGCTAATAAACCACACCAAGCTGTAGAATTGATCAGGCAGGCCCATCTGTAAAAGCACTGGAGTCACATAAGCTGTTTCCATGGCGTAGCTGAATTCAATCCCGAACAAGATGCAGCCATTGAAGAGCAGCTCCTGGAAGGTACGTCTCGGGGGAAGCTCACTGAGGTCCAACTGGTCCAGGGGACAAGGTGTGTTGGGTGGCGGAGGAGGCGAAGGTCTTATCAGCTTCCTCCGCTTTGGCTGTCTTTGGAAGTTGTTGGCTCTGTGACTGAGGTGCCGAGTGGTGGAAGTTGGAAAGCTGGCAGTTTTGGGAAGTGAGCTCCTCCAGATACCTTCCTGAGCTGTGGAAAACCTCCCTCCTGGACTGGCCAAGAGGGGGTCACTGGGGGTGCCCATTCCTGGAGATGACATCTCTCTCAAGCCAGCAGCAACTGGAACATATTAAAGGGTGATACCAATGATGAATTACAAGTCAGACATGCGCAAAAGTTGGTTTGGACTTGATTCAAGATCAGCACGGTCTAGCACAGCATTAACTTGGTGCTGCTAATGGTTATGTAGTGCAACCAAAAGGACACTGCAGTCATGTGCAGACACCGTCGGTGGGCACGACGCACTGCAACCAGTGCGCATGCTGTGCGCAAAGCCCATGTGCTCTGCGTGGCTGACTACAGCAGTGTACTATGCGGCAGCGCTCATGACGCCTGTTTCCATTTTAATTTTTCATGTAGGAAGCTCAAACAGGACACAATGTAAGCGGTGTGGATGTCAATGACGGCTTTCAGGACATTCACAAGGATAACGCATCATTATCGCTCACATTTAATAGAAATACTTGACTGATAGCCTGCCGACCCAGAGCCTTTTTTGCTTTTTTTTTTTTTTTAAGAGACATGATCCTCGATTTTTTCTTCTGTTTGCAATAGACTCTTAAGGTGACGATTAGGCGATCTACTGTGTAAGAGGATGCACAGAAATATAAATAAATAAATAAAAAGCGTGCAAATTACGACGTGAAAGAGGATAATTACCTTTTCGGGGCGGCTCGTCATTTATTGCGGCATACTGTGTAGATAACCACAGCAACCTTTGTGATGTATAGTATGAATTACAGGAGTCATGATTGTTTTTTTGTTTTCCTTTGATGCAGTCATCCCCCCGCTCTCTCCTTCGTCCCTTCTCCTTTCCCCTCTCCTCATCCCCCCTCCCTATCTGTCCCCCTCCCTTCGCGTCTTCCTCCCGGGCTCTCCCGTGACGTCACGCCCCTCCCTGCAACATCAGCACAGAGGACCCATCTATCTGCATACAGCACTACTCCAGTATGAGCCTAGTACTTAGCAGCAATATTAATGTAATAATTATATTCCAAATTCAGGTAAACGGGTTAAATAAATTGCACTCCTTTTTCTTTTATAGGAAAAGAAATTCACACCTTTATTTTATCATATTGGTTAATCTTTGTTTAATTATGCATCCTTGAACTACTTTTTTATGTCTTTCCTGCTTTTTAACTGAAACTTTGACTTGCTAGATAGTTTTTATTTTATTCAACTGTGACTTTTCCGATAAGAAAGCAGCAGGAAATCCGAAATAACCCACACATATAAATGCAGACAGCTCGGCTTTTTTCAGTTTTCTGTGTGCATCGTGAATGTGGTTGTATACTATTTTCCTGTCCACGATGTTTGTGCAGATATTTCGCTTTTTTTTTTCCAGTCAGATAGTCAAATGGTGTTGCATTGCTTCCTGTCCCTATAGCATGTATCCACAGCACATCAGGGTGTGGCCCATTGTGTGCACTGCCTTTTTAGTATGACATGTTTATGAAGGCTTCACATTGCCGCCGGTTGAGTAATACATGTGACACACCCACTAGAGCTAGAGTGAAATCCTAGGCTACATCAAAGAGTGTTGCATGCCCTTTCACACTGCGTCTATAAAACATGTCTTTCAATCTAGAAAATGTGCAACCCCCCCCCCACAAAGGTGCTGCTGGCACAGTTAGACCCCTCATTAGCAGTGAGTGAGAGGACTGTGTTAAAGGAAAGGTCAAATGGCTGCAGAACCTTTTGCTAGGATACACGTAGAGCTGTCATATCAAGAATACTCAGGTAAACTGTTGCTGGCCTAAAGTCTTGTGCAAATTCACACTTTTTTGCATTATGACATTTGAAAATGCATGTTTTGTAAAACAGTACTTGTTCTGCATGAACAGTCCCACCTGGATTAGATGTTTGGCACTGACAGAGGGAAATAACAGCAGATGGGGGTTTCAGTTTGGTGTGTCATTGAGGCTGCTCCCAGATCAGCAGGTGGATGTAAGGCTGCTTTCTTTAACAACTCCTTCAAGATTTAAGGAGTCGACCGCCCTTTATTTAAAATGGCAGCACGAAAGATAGCTCTGGTCCCTGCAGAAATACTAAAGTGGTTTTAGGGCCACCTCTGATAACAGGCTCATTATGTCTAATTGACTTGTAGCAGGTTAATCTGGCCTGCAGGATGTTCACCTTGGTACATGAGAGATGGAAACACCCCCGTAGGTATAGTGTATTAAATTTATTGTTACTGAGGTTGATATCTTTTTAATGAAATGGTTTCTATTTGGGGAACTGGTTAGATTGAATGCTGATTTATTTATATAATCATTTCCCAGCAACAGTTGTTTGAAGTTGGTTTATATTGTAAGCTAAAGATCTTAAAAGAGAGAAAGAACCCCCAATGACCCAATGAGCAAATAATTGGCAACAGCAGGAAGGAAGAACTTTTTTTTAACAGGAAGACCTTCAGCAGAACAGACTTAGGCAGGGGCAGCCATCTGCCTTGACCAGCCTGAGCAGTGAGCAGAAAGAGACCGCAAATATTATACATCTTACACACATCCCATTGATATAGAAACAGATTTTTTTTTGTTTAAGGTAGCAAGTAACATAGTCAGTGATGTCTCATAACACAATGAAGTAGAAAGAATAGAAAATGTTACTGTCCTGGTCACAAGAGAGAACATTCTGAAAAGAATAATATTTTTTCTCTACATTTAAGACATGAGCAACCGAGAAATATACAGAGGAAAAAGGGTTTGTTACATTGTGTAATTGGGCTGATCTACAGTAAGTAGAGAAACAATTTTCTTCTAAAAATCAGTAAAATAAGCAGCAGAAAGTGAAGACAACAGTATCTTAAATGTGTACATAGGAATTTAATCATTTCAGATTTTTTTTCCCACCTTTGTCAAAAGTATCTCTGTGGGGTCGACCACATCAGCCAAGACCCCAGGTGCAGGCTCTGCAAAGATGTCCTTTGGACAATCTAGCACATAACAGTAGGGCGCAAGATGCCAGCAAGCAGGGGATACATGGAACACCATAAGCAAGTGTCTGGCATAGTATACAAAAACATCTGTGCCGAATATGGTCTCGAAGTCTGGAGGTCAAAATAGCACATCCCCCTAGGGTGGTTGAGAATGACCGAGTTAAGATCCTGTGCGACTTCCAGATACAAAGGGACAAACTGGTGATGAGTATCTAATCAGACGTGGCAGAGGAAGAGGGCTATAGTGCTAGATGTAGCTATACCAAGTGATAGCAACATCAGGAAGAAGAAACATGAGAAGCTCGAGAAATACCAGAGATGAGAGAAGAGCTCGAAAAGATGTGGAGGGTGAAGGCAACAGTGGTCCCGGTGGTAATCTGAGCACTCAGACAGGAACCCCCAAACTGGGCGGGTGGCTCCAGCAGATCCCAGGAACGACATCGGAGATCTCTGTTCACAAGGGTAGAGGACAGATAAAGACTACCCACAGGGCCTGAGGTGATTTCAGATGGAGTGGCACAACTTGCTGTGGAGTTAATAGAAAACAGAAGGCTGGGACATGGGATGAACTTAAAGAGCTATAAAATGGATATATAATCGAGCGAAGAGAGTAAACAGAGACCATGCAATAAAATCCCACCTTTGAGCTCACCTGTGCTGAACCTTACACAACATATAGATATTACCACGACTGTAGGCACAGAGCATGGGGTCAGCTTAAAATTGTTCCGCACATGCTTCACATGTGCATCAACAGATATCTTAAAACAACAACTACTACACCGTGTTACAAAAAAACAGAAAGAAAGAAAAAAAGCTGTTTGTAGTACTCTCTGCACGTGCTGAAAGCGACTCGTAGCACGCCCCTTGATTGGTTGTGTTTTCAGTTCCAGTTGAATATGATTGGAGGTTCGTGTTGAGTGGGCGTATACGGATGTAGATGTTTTGCAACAGTTTATGCGGGTGTAACAGACGTCTTTACTGTACAGTCACTCACTCCCGAAGCTTGTCACCTTGATCTGTGAACTTAATTCGTGGTGTTTTGGAGTCTTTTACCCGGCTCGGAGAAAATGGCGTCAGTCGACCTTGCTAAAGTTGGAAAAAACTTACTGAAGAGCGATGAAAGCGAGGAGGTGAGTTACGTAGATGGGCGGCTGCTGAGGGTTACATCTGTGGACTTTATTTATCGTTTCGGATAGTTGCTTCGCTTTTTTGTGGCCCCCCCCC